CTTTCCTTCTTACTCCATGGCTAGCAATGTGGCTGTGTGGCTGGTCCATGGAATATTCCTCTTCTTCTCACTTTCTCACTCCTCCCCTTCTCTTTAGCCTAGTTTTCCCTTCCTATTTATTCTCTTTGCCTGCTAGCCCCACATATTTTTCTCTCCTGCCTAGCTATTGGTCATTTTTCTCTTTATTAGACCAATCAGGTATTTTTGACAGGCAAAGTAACACAGCTTTATAGAGGTAAACAAACACAACATAAAAGAATGCAACACAGGTTAGCATTATTAAACAAAATTCCACAGCATAAATGAATGTAACATATACTAAATGAATATTCCACAACACATGCCCTCTGGAAGAGGCCTGCTGAATTTGAGGACAAATTAGTTATAAGGATGTCACCAGTTTCCTACCTGGGTGTGGCATTGCAAGTTTTCTCACAACCTCTCAACAGAGAGAAACAAAAGGAGTGGCTTCATCCTGGCACCACACAGGGGCCTCCTATGATACCCTCTTCCTGATAGCACTGTATGTAAACTTCCCTAACTAAAGGAATTAAGTCATATAACACACTTAACGAAACTGCTGCCATGTAGGAGATATTCATCTTGTGGTTTTGTTACACAGAAACCATATGAGCTTAAATTGTCACTTTCCCCCTCCAGGTCTTAGTTATCAATTCAGTGAGGGTGGGGCTTGGTAGCTCTCAACCTGGCTGAAATAACTTTGGAAATAAGAGAAATCCAAGATCTATGTTCATTTAATTGGTCTGATATGGGTTTTGGCCTCTGAAATATAAAATACTCCAGGCTTAAAATCTCCTGAGATACATTTTCTGAAATCACAGGAGATATTTGTGATTATTCCCTTGATAGCTTTGTTAGGCCCCAAGCTGAGGCATCACAACCCCTTATGCTTCAAAGTAGCAGGACCCAGCCTGATGCATACAATATCCTAAAATCCAAATAATAAGCCAGAAACGTAGCTCAGAGAGGACACCCTAGGCACTCTAAGATCCAACCATGGCAGAAGCCTGTTCAACTCCAGTCTCAGGGCACAACTTCCCCAGAACAATTTCTGAGTCCAATCATTTCTCTCTTTCACTCAGAAATCTACCTTAATGACACAGAATGTCACTGAGCTCTATCCTTCAACCTTCTCATGGTCATCTGCTCTCTTTAATTAGCATGTGTGGAGCAGGTGTTTATTGTACTATAAAAGCCACTGACCAAATTAGTGAGATCATGAAGGTTCTTCACAGTGTTATGTCATCAGTGGTGGCATCACAGTAACACCCTTGTCTACATGCTCCTTTGTAGCTAAACCATCTCCTCCTGTGGTTTCTGGCCCTACAGCCAGAGTGACTCCTGAACAGACAGGGAGTTTCACATGCAAGTCCCATGGCTTCTCCCCTCAGCACATCACACTGAAGTGGTTCAAAGATGGACATGAGCTCACTCACTTCCAAACTACTGTGGACCCCAAAGGAGAAAGCACCACCTACAATATCTCCAGCACAGCCCAGGTGGTGCTAGATGCTGGGGATGTATACTCTCAGATTATCTGTGAGGTGAATCATGTCACCTTGCAAGGAGGTCCTCTCCGTGGGACTGCCAACTTATCTGACACCATCCAAGGTAAATGACTCTGAATCCCAGCTCAAGTTCATATCTGTTCCGAATGACTTTGTCCGTAATTCCCAGCAAGTATTCATGCATACCACACTGGGGGTGGGGGAATCATAGACTGTGATCAGCACATAAAGGAAATTGTATTTATTTTAACAGAAGAAATTACAGTTGTACTGATTATGAGCCACACCCCTCATTCCTAGCATTTTCATACACTTTACTGTTGTTACTGCTTTCCCAGTGTGCATGGGAGTTCTGCTTGTTGATTTCACTTATTACTCCACTCACTCTGTGGCTTATGTGTCAGAACTTTAGGGTCTCTACTCTGGCACAAATAATCATCCTGTCCCCATGATGAAGATGTAAGGGGCATGGTGCACATCAGCCTCCTCTGGGATCATTTTGGGCTTAGGTTCTGAAGTCTCACCTTCTCATTCTGCATTTCAGTTCCACCCACCGTGGAAATCATCCAGCAACCAACAATGATGTGGAGACTGGTAGGTGTCACCTGCCAGGTGAATAAGTTCTACCCTTCGAGACTTCGGTTGACTTGGTTAGAGAATGGAAATATATCCCAGATAGAAGACCCTTCTACACTCACAGTAAACAAGGATGGAACCTACAGCTGGACCAGCTGGCACTTGGTGAATATATCTGCTCATGAGGAGGACATCAAGCTTATGTGCCAAGTTGAACATGAGAGACAGCCACTAGTCTTAAAATCCCATACTCTGGTGATCAGTGCATTGCAGAGGGAACAAGGTATTGGCAGCATATCTGGTGTTGCTGCACCTCAGCTTCTGACCTGTTTACCAATAGTTCCTCTCTTTTTGAATGTCAAATGTAGCACTTTGCTTATTGTGTGTTAATTCTAATATCTATAAACTAAGTAAAAATTTAAAGTCAGGTTTCATGATGACTTTCACAGGTCTCTTACATCCTTCTGTTATGTGTTGACATTTACAGATATTAAATAAGGGAGACAGGAAGCCATCATCCTACCCTAGAATCCTGTCTCTTTCATTTTTAGCTAACATTTGTTATATCCTCATGTTCATCTTCTTCATTTTCAGTATCTCCCCTCTCTCCTTTCCATTTCACACTTTTCCTTGAACATTGGGTCCTCTCTCATTGTTCCATGCTATCTCCTGAGAGTAATTCACACATGTCTCAAGAGGATCTATATTGTTAGTGTGGATGGGGAATCCAAATGAGTGTGAATGAATGGTCCTAACAGGAGCCATTTTTGTTATAATGGACAAATATCTATGTATCCATGTCCCGTCCCTTGTCCCGTCAGATATTCAGGGTTCCGGAGGGGGGGCTGCCTGAAAGAGTCATGGGCGAGAGAAGGAAGGAGGCCAAGCGGTGCAAAAGAGGGGACCAGAGTCCATCTGTGCATTGTCAAGGCCTCGATTTATTGGGGTTTAGACTGGGCTTATATAGCCCTTCACCAAGGAAATTGGGTAAGCGGGGAGATAACAGGAAGGAACATCTGGTGTATGCGGGGGCCAGAGCATTCTTCTTACCAGCCGGAATATCTTGTGATCTTCCCCAGAACGGTGAACAGGAAAGCCCCAGGCCCTTTCTCGGAACAGAAGCAATTAGCAGTTCCGTGTGGCCAAACCATCTAATTACAGGTTACAGGAGGCTCACAGAGCTGGCTTTAAGCTGAAAATTTAAAGGTCATTAAAAGGCTTACAAAGGTGGGCTTTAAGCCGCATAGTTTTGGGTCCACAGCCCCTTACATAGCCAGACCCTGACTCCATAGTCACTACATGCAGCTTTCCATTTAGCTGCCTATCTCTTCCCTTCATCAGTTGTCCAAAGAGTCATCAGTTTTATAGACAGGAAATCTAGGTATGGGGAAGTAATAGAGTTATTGAGTTCTTGTCTTGAGACCATGTGATCTGATCTAATTAATATACCAAAGGGAAATCTAAGGTCCCAGGGATCAAAGTCATTAGCAATATACAAGGAAAATTTTGGTAGTAAAGTATTTTTCCTTCCATAATGTTGAACTATCGAACCTAGTTTGTACTTGAACCTGTGTGTGTTTTACTCTGATGCCAAATCTAGAAAAGAGAAGGTATGGCAGAGTACTTGTCTTAAGTGCAAGTATAAAATGGAAATTTTATATAGTATATATATTTCACTCCATCTGTAAAAATTCATTCAATCTATCACATGGTAGTAGAAAACTTATCAAATTTTCCGTATAACCAATTAGTTATTGACTAATTATGGTAGATTCCGAGTTGTGTCAGTATGACACTGATGGAACTATTTTCACTTAAAAATATAAGATAAAAAAAAAAAACATTTCATCTTTTATAACCAGATCGTTTGGTTATCAGGACAAAAAGTTGGAAATGACAGGAATGCTAGCAAATGAGTAAAGTAAAATTATAATTATTTATAATTGAAGGCAAGAAGGCAACAATCTTTGAAGGTTTCATGTTTTGTTTTATTTAATGTTAAGAAATCTTGGGGAACTCTCACTTCCTCTCAATTTACAACTCCTGGTGCAGTGAATTTACTGGAACAAAAATGCAGTTTGTAAAACCTACTTGGGAAATAAAAACAACTGTAGATGGTGAAAAAAA